ATTTTGTTGAAGCTTTAACTTAAATTATGGTGGCTCTTGTCACATGCCATGTCTCAAGACAAATTTTAATCTTATATAGCTATATTATATTAGAAAATTTGCTAACATGAGCTTGCACTTGTCACTTTGCGTCTAGTCCTAGGATCAAAACCTAAATGTGATAGGAGTTGATCATAGAAGTCATTCTCCTTTTCTTTCTAACTATAAACCTCAAAGTGGTTTCGCTTTACTGGTTAGAACACAGGTCCAACAATACTCATGCGGCTGATAAAATCCTGCTCATAAGCCATGTCTATGTACCGAGTACACATGTTGCTTTGGGGAAGTGAACGAAACCGAGCTATTAACAAAACTTATAATAACATTTTTATCCTCTAGTAAACTTAAAACTCGTGTGCTTATTATGCTTTTTTTATTCAAAATTCATCTTTGACATTTTAATAATAAAAGTAAGGATTTTAGGTTGCAGATTGAGCTCTTATTAATCTCTTACTAATTACCACCATGGTATGAAGTGTGTTTAAGCCTGCACACCTAAATTTGAGGTCAATTTTCTCCGTTTGTTCGAAAATGTAAGTGGTTTTATTTGGACGTCATTTTTATCTAAGTTTAACTGAATTCACCGATGCAATGACTAAATATAATATCAAGTAATCAAGATATATTTCATGGTGGATTTTAACAGAAACTTAGCCACAATTAAATAAGTTTGGCTCATAACAAGAGTAAAATTAATATTTTTATATTTTGGGACGGAGAGAGTAGATAACTACTTAAGAAGAGGCTGTAGTTAACCCAAATCAAAGGTGATTAGCACTCTACTGAGACCGAACGATCTTTTTTTACCATCTCAACATAATACTAGCAAGTAGCATATACCTTTGCGTGTGCTACAGTGCTGTTGCTAGTTTTACCGGACGCAGCCAACGAGTGCAACAAGAACTCAAGAAAGCATGCACGCGCGCAGCAAGAGAACAGATAGTGTCTTGCAACGGCCAAAACTCGTCACGGAAAGAGGAAAGAGCGCATCTTCCGCGGCAGCTAGTCGACATATGTATATTACCGCTAGCTCCATGTGCAACTTGAGCTACTAGCTGTATTCAGCCGGTTCGTTTCGTTGAAAAAACAAACCGAAACATTGTTCTGTCTGATTTGTTGTGAGAGAAAAATACTGTTTCGACTAAAAAAACAAGTTAAAAAGTAGGAATTATAAGACAAGCGAACAGGGACCGAAGAAAGAAAGAAAGATGCAGTAAAATTATTGCTAGTGAATCTTGTCTGGTGGATGCACTAGTTAATGATCATCTAATCTAATGGCTAATGCCGAGACATGCATGCATACACACAACTGTGAAGATTTCCTGCATATTTATATGCATATGTACTCGTGATTCGGTAGTTCTGAATCAGGATTCAGCACAGTCATCGGTGATGGGCGTGTGTCATGTTGTTCACATGCATTGAAAAGTTGAGAATACCAATACGATTCTTCTTGTTCTTTTAATTAGTTTGTTTATGCTTACCATGCGCAACCAGAGTTGACTTGTGCTGATAACATTGTACTGTTATTATTATTATATATATATATGCTCATTATTAGTTGGTACATAGTCCTATATGCATGTTACCGCTTAGATACTTGTATTGCAATTTGCAAATGCATGTTCTGATGAGCTAGCCTCAACAACCCGTGCTTAACCATCTAGAAAAATTAATGGAGAAAGAAAAAAAAATCATATATACTGGTCCGGTGTCAATGATACGCAGTCTGTCCCAAAGCAGACACTACTATGCAAGAGGCAGGACAGGTTCTTCCATCCATCCCCCCATGTGACTCACAGTGAATCAGTGATTGGTATGTATTCGGTTGTTCCATCAATGTATTCTCCCAAGTATTCAGCATGACTGTAACGTTGCTGTTTAATTAATATAAGCTCTTGTTTTTCCTAAAAAAAAAAGTGACCTGACTCTCATCACCTCCGATCATCGTCAGTATTGGATTCTCGAAACAAGACCAACCACACCTCCTATCCTAGGAAAAAAGAAGCGAGAAAGACATGGATGGCTTTACTAACTACCATCACCAAGTGTAATAATTAAGTTAGTTTTTGGCTTTTTTTTGCCGTGATTAAACTAGACAGGTGACAGGATACGCCTGCCTGCTGCTGATTGCCGAACCCAACAGTAAGCAGATACTACGGCATGTGAACAAGTATCCCATCCTGTTTGCTGCTGTGTCGCCTTGCATTGATTCCTTGTTTTGTTTGCAGAAGCAGCAACACGCCCACCAAAGCAATTGCATGTCCTTTCCTGTTTGCAGATACATACAGTACGTTTTTCCTGCGGTTGGCGTCGGTGGATGAATGAATTGCATGATGCATGCCGGCGCTTCTTGTTCTCAAAATACTAAATTTTCTTTTTCTTTTTTAAAAAAGGAACAATAATTCCAGCCCCTAGAAACCTACACAGCCAAATACATACACCAAATTTGGGACAATAATTATACTGATCTTCTTTGGCAATTCTTGCAAAACACCATCCTTTTGATTTTGTTTTTCTATGTCTCTTTAAAAAAAAAAACTTGCAGAACACGTACAACAGAAGGGGCCCGGCCGGGCCGGCAGGGAAGCTAGCAGAGTCTGCATGTACATGTGCAGGAAATTAGGTGCAAGAGAGCTTTCGTACGTGCCTCTCTTGGATCTAAACTACGTACAACACTCGACTAATCATTTCTTGATATTCCGGTTTGTTTGTCTCATTAGTCATTATACAGGCTTGTATGCACATCTTTTTCGAAATTAAGATTGTATATGAATGGACACCGTACCTTGTTCGTCACATGGGCAAGCAAGTACTGAGTGCTCTCCCTTAATTAACTTGCTTCCAAGCTTGAGGAATACTAGTAGTACTAGCCTCCAAGCTTAGGAGCAAGGGTCCAAATCATTGCAACACTAATGGAGTATACGTACTGGCTAGAGTTTTAAATTAAAGGGGTGCTTCTTAATCACATGTGAAAAGGGCAAAGGCCAGGGTTTGGGATGCAAAGCTCAAATTAAAGAGATCAGCGGATGCAGTAGTCTCCCCAGCAGCGGCCTACTACTGTGTAAAGAGGCCTACTTGCTGCTGATGCTGAAGTTAGGCACCGCATGATGCAAAGGAAAAGAAAAAAAAAAAAAGGCAGGTAGTAGTAAGGGGTTTTTTAATGCAGGGACTAAAGTGTAAGAGGTGTCACATCAGACGTCACATGAGGTGTCGCATGAGGTGTTCGAATACTAATAAAAAAACAATTACATAAGTCATCGGTAATCCACGAAGACGAATTTATTAAGCCTAATTAGTTCACCATTAGCACATGTTTACTGTAGCACAACGTTGTCATAGGCTTAATAAATTTGTCTCGCAAATTAATCTCAATCTGTGTATTTAGTTTCGTAAATAGTCTATATTTAATACTTCATGTATATATTAAACATTTAATGGGACAGTCACTGAAGTTGAGGAGGTTGAACCAAACACTCCCTAGCAGAGACGTCGGAACTGGAAAAATTTTATATTATATATATATTGTCGTTTCATTGGCTACCCCCATCTTTACTTTGCCCCCATGTGGCAGTGGCGCCATGAACAGCGTGTTTCTGCTTTGCCTAGTCAGTCAAGGGTAGTACTATGTTTTGCTTAGCAACAGAACATGAACCCTCGATGTAAGAGTTGAGGTTTTAAGATGCTATTGGACAAACCAAATAGACCTATAGAAAAGTTGAGTCTCGGCTGGCAATTTGTTTTGTTAACCAAGGACTGGATTTCAGGTGCACATGGATCGGACATGGGCACGCACAGGCACAGCACATGAGCGGGAGCTAGCGTGACCCCAGAGAACTGATGGATTGGACGGGAGCAGGAGCAGGATGGTGCCCACGGCCACGGCTACGCGATCGAGTCGAGCCCATCATCAGTGTCAGTGACCACATTTCACCAGTAGTATTTGGTTGGACGATTTAAAATTTAGCCCCACACCACGCCACAACAACACAACAGAAGGTGCTACTACGAGTGTAGGTGTACGTACATTGCATATACTGTAGTACGTAGTACAACTGCCGGTAACAGTGACAGGAGCAGTACAAGGTAGCTCAGCCTCAAATCCACTCATCCCTGCTGCTGCTCTTGATCGAGCTCGGTGGCGTGGTGTCGTTGAGATCCAGGCCCCCCTGCCCCGGACTCCGGGAGCAGCTCATCGTCATGGAGGCAGAGAACAGCATTTTAGCATCCAAAAAGCCAGCCATCCAAAAGCAAAGCAACGCAGCACGACGGTCGACTGTCAGTCAGCTATACGCTTCACTCGTCACTCCACTCGCGTCGCCTCGTCCATCCATGATCCATCGTCTTCCTCCTCACGCAGTCACGCTTTCACCCAGGTCCGTCTTCGCGAACACGACTCCAGGGCAGTAACGGTCCGTCCACCTTTCTCCTCTCTCCCTGTCGTCTCTCGTCCGTCCGGATTCCGGACGCCTCGCTGGAGGGACGTGCGAGTTGGTGGTGGCTACGAGGACACGACACGAGGAGGAAGAGGGAGGGGGGAAGGGTCGAGCCGAGCCCCATGCCTCGTCAGCAACAGTGGCCGCCGGCTCATGTTACAGTCCCATCGCGTCGTGCACCAACAGTCCAACATGCCGCTGCTCGGCTGCACTCTCCATTATTGCCTCTCCTCCGCCATCTCCTTCCTAATCCTAATCGCTCGTCTCGTCTCGTCACCGCTGCTTTGCTCTTGTGTTCGCATTGCCTTGACCCCCCCCCTCTCCTGCCGCAGTGCTGCTCCTTCCTCCCCCCTCCGAAGCTCTCCCGCCTGCTCCATTTAATTACTGACTGATATCCTCCCCCCATTCGCTTTCTTCCATTCTTCCATCCCATCCGTACCAGCCCAGCCGCCGGTGCTCAGGGGTTCCATGCCCAGCGCCGCGTGATCTGATCCGCGGCGGCGCGCCCATTGCCTCCCTCCGCGAATGGCTCCTCCAGCCGGGGCGGGGACGGAGGGGAGGCCGGCGCGGCGGCGCGGCGCGGGAACCGGCACGGGCACCAGCCCCGGACGCAACAAGGTGTGGGTCGAGCCGCCGGGCAAGAGCCACCACCAGACCCCCGCGCGGTCGCCGCCCCCGGCCCCATCCCCGGCGGCGGCGGCGGCCAAGAGGGTGGCCGTGGTGTACTACCTCTGCCGCAACCGCCACCTGGAGCACCCGCACTTCATCGAGGTGCCGCTCGCCGCCCCGGAGGAAGGTCTCTACCTGCGAGGTCAGTCACTAACTCATCCCTCCCTCAATAAAGGCGCCGCCTTCCGGTTCCGGTTCGGTCCAAATTCGCCATAAACTTGCTTGGAGATGTGTACCAACAACTAGATAGCTGACGATGCGATTCGCGTTAATGGCGTTGCCGCTGCAGATGTGATTAACCGCCTCAACGTTCTGCGGGGGAAGGGCATGGCCTCCATGTATTCCTGGTCCTGCAAGAGGTACTCCTGCCGCACTTCACAATCCAATTCCAACCTTTATTTTTGTTTTTGTCTGCTGATCCCTCCTGTTGTAATTTGCATCGCATCGTCGCCAGGAGCTACAAGAACGGCTTCGTGTGGCACGACCTGTCCGACGACGATCTGGTGCTCCCCGCGCAGGGCAACGAGTACATCCTCAAGGGCTCCGAGCTCCTTGACCGCTCGCCGCCGCCAGGTATCTCCACAACTGATTAACTGATTCATTGATTGATTCTGCGTGTGTGGCCTGTGAATGTATTGTTTTCATCAGATCTTGGTCCAATTCGTGTTTGTGCTTTTCTTGTTTCAGGTCGGCAGCAGAATGGCGTCAGCAACCCAAAGGTGGAAGGCCTGAAGCACTGCAAGGAAGAGTCCCCTCAGTCGCGGGGCTCGCAGGAAGGATGCTCGTCGTCGTCGTCGCCGTCCGCCGCTGTCAAGGAGATCTCACCTCCGCCTGCCACTCCACGGCCACAGCAGCAGGTGCAATCAGCAGCACTGCCGTCGTCGTCGGCTTCCACCAACCACGAGGATGAACTGTGCCGGACCGCGCAATCAGGCTCGTCCGGCAACCAGTCCCCTGAGCCTGCTGGGAGAAACGCTCCACTGTCAGAGGCAAGCTCCCCAGGACCTTCGGAGTACAGAGTCTGCAGACCCATCGGGGCTCAGGATGCGGCCACACAAACAGATGATAGCGAGAGGGATGTTGCTGAACACCATACTCGTGTGGTGGGGGTGTCCATGGATACAACGTCGGATGCTGAGATTCAGGAATGTCATCAGAGGAGCTCGATGCTGTCACCGAAGGTACCTGAGATTGTTCAGGAGTCACCGGCCGTGTGTTCCTCTGATGCTTCGCCTGGTGGCAGAGTTGAGACCTTGGAGTCCCTGATAAGAGCAGAAGCCAGCAGGAGAAGTAGCTTTAGGACGCTAGAGGAGGAACACATGCTTGGCCCGATGGGTGTGAAACTGAAGCCAGCCAATTTGCTAATGCAGATTATCACTTGTGGGTCTATATCTGTGAAAGAACACCGAGGCTTTGGGTTCATCCCATCGTACAGGCCTCGGTTTACACAGGTTGAGTTCCCTTCTCCAGTGTTCTCCACTCCTGTGGCATTGCGACACCTTGACCAAATCCCTTGTAATACAAGAACAGTTGGGTTGAGAGCTCCAGAGTCTGAATGTTTCAGTGGGAGCTTGGTTGAGACCAAGAAGCAGGACGAATCTGGGAGAGGAATCAGCTCACTCAAACGCTCATCATCTTATGACGAGGATAGGTACAGTATACAATACTACCACAGATTATTTTGAGCTTCTAATCTTGGACTATGGTGCCAGTAAGAATGATGCGTGATTTTATCATGATAGTGTAGCGGCTCCTAGGGGTGTTCCCCCACTGTTAATTTGCTTAATCCCTGGTGAGGAGGGTGGCTAGATTGCTTAGCATGTTTGCTTGGATGGTTTCAACTGGTTTGGGGAAAACAAGCTTGTTCACACCTAGTGTAGCCTATGACGCCTCATTATCTTCTGATCAGTAGTTACTGTATTTTTTGTCATTCCATATCTGAAGTCATATTCGTTAGTCACACTTAATGTTGGGTGCTAACTAGTTGCATACTTGCATTAATATTGGGTGCTAAAAGCTCAAGTCAATTTCTTATGTCTTCATTCTATGTTATGATATATCTTAGACTAGAGATATAGAAGATAAGAGACTCCAACAATAAGATGCTTGAAGAAAATTGGTTTAATTATTTTGCGCTGTTACTTTACGTGTCAAACTGAACATGGTATGTGCAATGTGTCACTAAATTCTGTCCAATCTAGAAGTTTGCAGACTATCACTTTATTCTTCAGTATTTTTTTTATGTTGCTCAAGCAATTCGATGTTTAAATATGGCTAGGACTTTGTTGGTAACACTGGGTGTACTGACTTTTGACCCAGTGCTTCCTTTGAACATTTTTCAGAGTTTATAGAGCAGCACATTCCAAAAGTGATACAGAAAGCTCTTGCGAGTCAGGTAGTTTCAGGTGTCTTCCCCAGACTATCAGAATCATATCATGTAAGCAATCGAGATCTGGAACAATACTCTCCCCTGCCTCTGATGTGAGAAACAGCTCTAGTCAACAAGAATATAGCACTAGATCCTCGCCACTGGGTACAAGCAATAGGATGACTGATCCATCACTGGGTAAACTATCTTCTGCGAGAGTAGAGTCATTCCACGAGGACAAGGACGTGATCAAGATCGAAGAAAGTTGAGTTGCCTCTCACTGTTCTCATATGTCCATCTACTGGTTTTGTTTCTGGATACTGACAAAATAGACTGTTTCAAAACTGCAGGCTTCCTTCTGGAGCTCGGGTTATAATCCAATCTGCGCCTTTGTGTGAAGAGAGTGATGACAGCAATGAATCACTGTAAGGGGCTGTGTTACATAAGTTTTTTTTTCTTTTTATTTCATTTTGCTGAGAGCGACATTTGTTGGAATTTGGTGCGCGTGTGTGGCATAGCTTTTGGAGTAGGTTCAAAGGTATTGATTTTGTAAACTGTGTGAATGTGATAGTCAACATTTTCTCACACCTTGAAGAAGAGAATAGTTCATCTTGCTTAAAAAGGCCTGCTATTAAGCATGGGTTGTTTTCAAATATCAAGCAAACAGAAAACAAGTTATCCTTTTCAGAATGCAACTCAACCATAAAGCAAACTGAAAATATTGCTATGCTAGGCAGTGCCGGACCATGCCACAATTAAATACATCACTGAAGATCTGGATCGATTCTTCTTGTAAGGTTGTAACATGGCCAAATATCTATCCTTTCACGAGAGCTTGGTGAAACCTTGATAGTACTGCATACAGTATCACATTATTCCTGGGCCACTTGAAAGGACCTTTGATTGGGCAGTACATACAGATGCGGATCTGAGTGAAAAGTGGGAAATGCCTTTGTTTTGTTCTTATGTGGGACACTTGGCCTGCTGTCGTTATTGACCTTGCTGCATTGAGCTGGAGTGAATCCCTAAAGGCAAATCATAATGCTGCTACTTGTTCTTATGTGGAGTCATTTTACTTGTAGTAATGCTGGATGGTGGCATGGTGGGTACTTGTCCTTTTCAGTCACGGATAGGTGGTGGTTACTGACTGTCCTCTTTGTGGGGTTCTGGAGGGACTCTTTTATAGACCGGATGGTAGCATGGTTACTTGTACCCCCCTTTGAACTGACTGGGCACTTATCTCAGTGGATTTTTCCTTCCTTGAGAGGGATCGAATGGGAATGGCCCAGGTTCTGTTTGGGTGTAATGTATGCGTGATGCATCTGTGGGCAATGGATCTGATCTGATAATGCTGCTATGCCATGGAGAGCCACGTGCCCTCCGGCAACGCCAGATGTACATGTACTTGTGGAACCGTGAAGGAGTAACACAAGCTGTGTTTGGCTCTGAATTATTTCATCCTCAGTGGCATGTTTCTGAACGTGAAATGATAGTTTGTGGCGCCACATGAGGCGACCTTGTGCTTGTTTAATTTCCGTCTTCTGATTCAGAGTATGTATGTACTCCTATGTATGTTGTGTGTTGCCGTCTGAAGCATAAGCACCAAGCGAGGGAAGAAACAGGCGGTAAGTATTCTTATGCCTGTGGTAGAGCGTGGTATCCTTTGTCTGCGTTCAGCTGTATATGCTTGCTTCCAGTTGTACATGGCAAAGAGTTGCACAACTGACACACAGAGGTCTCGAGTGAGAACTGAAAACTGAACTGAACTGAACTGCACTGAAGAATCAGTTGAGCATTCTTGGTCTTCGATTTGGTTCTGCTGATGCATGTTGTGATATGGCAGCAATGCAATGCTAGAGATATTTTCAATGTGGCAGGAGTAAGAGGCCACAGAGGCACAGACAGACAAACGAAGAGGATGAGGACGAGGTTGGAGCATGCAGTACATACAAGGATTTAAGAGCTCAGTAGGACAGGGAGTGAGGCTGCTGTGCTGTGGTTCTGGATCCTGCGGTCGTGCCACTGGCGTGGGCCGGTGGTGGTGTGGTGCGTTGTCTGGGTCGCCCGCCTCAAGTCGAGACGGGAGGGAGGCCTTTCGTTTCACCGAAAGTTAGTGGGTATGGGCTGTTTTTCAGTTTCGCCGGCGGTTCACCATTGGGCTCCGAAATAATTCAGCCCACTAGTAGCCCATTAACAATAAGCCTGAAATCCTCAATCCCTCTCCCTCCCTCAGGACCCTTACGCGGTCACCCCATACCCGACGGCTGCCGGCTCGGGCAGTCCGCAATCGGTCGGGCGCGGGGACGCCTCGAGCGGTCGAGCCCTCGACCTCTTCGTCTCGGTGTGGATCCGTGCTCACCTCAGGGTGCTCCGTGCTCGAGGCTCGATCCCACCCAGGCACCCACCGACGGCCGCCTCGGCGCCTTGCCGCCTTGGCCACTGCCCGCCGCCCATAAGGCAAGCACATGAGGTGCCGGCGGCCAGCGCCCCACCCAGTCTTGTAGCGTCGCGGCGCGTGCTTTCAGCGAGGGTCAGCATGGGTCATTCGTCAGCGCACCCCAGCATGGGGCCGGAGCCAGAGGGCGAAGGTAGTACGGTGGCAGCGAGCACGACGATGCTCGGTGGCAAGCGAGCCCGTGGGGTGCGGTACTACGGACCTACGGTGGCGTACCGCTTCCCTGGATCTCGAATTTCATGCGTCATCTAAGTGTCAGACAGTACAGGGACTCATCCTATGTATGTGTTTGTCTTTGTCTTTTTTTTGTTGCATTTGTCAGGATTCCTGTCTCAGGAAGTGAGCAATGTCGACTCCTGGTGGTTCTAGTGGATCTCAAGCTGCTGCTGCTGCATCTCAATCTGTGTGTTCTCGTCCTCAAACTCGTGCATGTGTTGCTGCCAATTCAGTGACACCGCCGTCCGATTCAGCAGCACCGTCATCCGATTATGGAACTGTAGGTAATACTGATGTGTTAGAGGTAGAAGATGATGTTCCTGTTGGTAGTAAGAGGAAGCTAAGATCTGAAGTTTGGGAAGAGTTTGATTTGATTAACGTAGATGGGATTTGGAAAGCAAAATGCCATTGGTGTAAAGAACATTTAGGTGGTGAAACAAGAAATGGTACAACTCACTTGAAGAATCACCTTGCAGTATGTCAGGATAGGGCTACTAGAAAAGGTTTAGAATAGTCCACTCTTAAATTGTCTGCAAACCCACAAGATGGCACAATCACATTAGAGAATTGCGTATTTGATGAAGATGTCGCTAGGAAAGAACTTGCCCTAATGATTATTGTCCATGAGTATCCTCTTTCCATGGTGGACCATGTTGGATTTCACAAGTTTTGTGCTGCATTGCAGCCAGCATTCAAGGTAGTGTCTAGAAGAACAATTAGGAAGATTATCTTGGATATGTATCAAGTGCAGAAGCAATCTATGGTGAATTATATCAAGAAATTGAGTTCTCATGTTGCTGTTACTACGGACTTGTGGACAGCAGACCACCAGAGGAAAGGTTACATGGCAGTTACAGCTCATTTTCTAGATGATGATTGGAAGCTAAAAAGTTTTCTTATTAGGTAACAATAAATCGCAGCATGTCTATAAGTTTATTTTGTGTTATTGTATTATGCATTCTGTGTTACTTATGATATTTTATTGTTGTTGGTTTATTTATGTTTCAGCACCACATACAGCAGAGGTTATAACTGATGTTCTTCATGATGTTCTCCTAGATTGGCATATTGAGAGGAATCTGTCCACTATAACTCTTGGCAACTGTAGTATCAATGACAACCTCATGAAGAATATGATTGGCACTGATGGTGATGACCTTGCAAAGAACATGGCTGCTATGGAAGGCATGTTTGCTAGAGAAGGGAATTGTTGTGCTGCACATATGCATTGTGCTGAACATATTTTAAATCTGATTGCGAAAGATGGAATGAGTGTGAAGGGAATTGAGAGTGTGCGTGATAGTGTCGCATACTGGTCGGTCACTCCTAAAAGACGAGGAATTTGAGAAAATGGCAGCACAAATGAAAGGAAAATATGAAAAAAGAATTGCTCTTGATTGTAAAAATTGATGGAACTCTACTTATATTATGCTTAGCACTGCACTAATGTACCAAGATGTTTTTGAGCACCTTGCTTCTCGTGCTCCATCTGTTCCAACTGAAGATGATTGGAAGTTTGCTAGAGAGCTTTGTGATAGGTTAAAGGTGTTCTATGATGTAACTAAACTACTGTTAGGCACTAAATATGTCACAGCCAACCTTTTCTTCCCCAAAATATGCAATATTTTTTTGGCTATTAGGAAATGGCAAAGTAGTGATATTCTTAAGGTAGAAGAAATGTCTATTAAAATGAAAGAGAAATTCAACAAGTATTGGTCAGATGTGCATGGTTTGATGGCTGTTGCTGCTGTCCTAGATCATAGGTATAAATTACAACTGTTGAATGCTCTTTTCCTCAAAATTCATGGGTTGGAAAGTGTAGCTATGGAAGCTGTCAAAAAAGTGAAAGACTTGTTACACAATCTGGTTTTGGAATACCAAGATTCTATGGAGGATGTTGCCACAACAGATGGTGCTCAAACTAGACCAAGTTCTCCTGCTATGGATGATGAAGATTGGGTTGACACTTTTGATCATTACATGTCCAAACAGCCAGCCGTGACCTCCACTTATGTGCGAAGAGAGTTAGATTTGTACTTGGAAGAGCCACTGCTGCCTAGGACATAAGAGTTGGATATCATTCAGTGGTGGCAACATGAAGGGCTCAAATACCCAATGTTACGAAAAATTACACGTGATGTCCTTGCTATTCCTGTGACAACGGTGACATCCGAGTCAGTCTTTAGTACCAATGGGAGAATAATTAGTCCACAACGTAATAGGCTTGCACCATCAATGATAGAAGCACTTATGTGTATGCAAGCATGGTCTCATGCCGACATGTTAGGTAAGTGTAATTTTTATAAGTATGTGTTCTTCATTTTGTATAAGTTATAATACTAATTTGTGAATACTATATCAATGCAGGGTCTTAGTCCACTTTTGTTGGTGCTTTGATGGCTTGTCTTGATGAAAAAGATGAAGAAATGGTATTGCTATTGTTTGCTTTTGTATTTAACTTGCGAATTTACAATGCGTTCAACATTCAAGTAATAGGCTATTCTCTCTATTTTTATTTCACATGATGAAGATGATTCCAGCATAATTGATGAATGATGAACTCATGAAGTGAAGATGAATGCCTCGTGCCTATAAGGAAAATGGACTCTAGGCTCATTTACTTTGGATTTTGGTGTTTAATGACCAACACAACCAAATTGGACTAATGAATTTGCAAGTAATTGTTTTGTAGTTCAATAGGGTGTAAGACGTGACTTGGACGAAGGCGACATAATGATCTTACGATCAACACCATAAGCAAGACCCTAGAAGCATAAGAGAAGACCCAAGATATCAAGCATAGTCCAAGCATGAAAATAGAAACCAAGCCAGACGTAAGATCGTGAAGAAACAAGCTCGGTAGAGGTGACCAGACGTGTCCCTAGGAGGACCGAACGCATCCGAGTAGTTGCTCGGCAACAACAGGCGTCAGTAGCTGTGACCGGACGTTGAGCGAAGCAGTGACCAAACGCATAGATGACACTGTTCTTCGTCACGGTAATGTTTTCAGCGTGACCGGACGCTACGGCAGGATGACCAGACGCACCAAGAAGTAGCGTCCGATCATGTCTAGAAAGGTTCTAGAGCGGCGCTAGCGCGACCGGATGCGTCCGATCAAGTGGGACTAGACTCGGCCCAGAGTTTGATCAATGCGCGCGCTCTAACGGATGGCAAGACCGGACGCATCCGGTCAGGACGACAGCAGCGTCCGGTCACTAGCAGAAACGTTGGTTTTGATTCCAACGGCTAGTTCTCTCATTTGGGGCTATAAATATGCCTCCAACCAGCCATCCGAGAGCAGGAGAGCTAAGGAAACATACCAAGGGTGTTGATACAACATTTTAGTGATCTCCACTTGCATAGTGCTTAGTGATTCATTAGGTGATTAGCGTAGGTGCATTGCGAAGTGCTTAGGTTGATTAGACCACCGCTTATGCATTTACTCTAGGTTTAGACCTATTGTTTAGTGAGGTTTGCACACCTCTTATCACTCGGTGCTTGCACACACCATTGTTGTACATTGGAGGGGCTTGTAATCTTGCGAGATCACACCAACCGTGTTTGTGGTGTAGCCGCCACCATGTACCAAAGGGAACAAGGCCCATGATGTTTCGGCCGGAAGCTTGATAGTGAAGTCTACGGGGAGCATCCGGGAGAGGCTTGCCAGAAGGCACGTCGGAGACTCACTTGCGCGTGGAGAAGGTTCGAGGCTATCCACGGAGTTACCTGACCGAGAGTTTGGCCCTTGCGAGGGATTCCTTGCGAGGGGCTCCAACGAGGACTAGGGGGAAGCTTACGCGCTTCTCGATACCTCGGTAAAAATACCAGAGTCGTCGATAGGAGTTTGCATATCTTTACCTTACTCTTTAGCTTCCATATTTACATTGCAATCTTGGTTTGCGCTTTACTTTCCTATCTTAGTGATATGCTAGTTGATAGGTTTGTAACCTAGGTTTCATAACTCCTTTTTGTGGTAGAGATAGCAACACACTAGCAAAATCATAGTTGCATATTTAGATAGTTTATCTTTTGCATATGTTTTTGCTAAGGATGGAAAAAGAGGCTGTCGGGTTCATAAACCCAGGGTCCCCAATGGGCCCGCTTCTCAGCAAAAACTCGGCCCAACAGACGGCGTAGCGACAATGCGCGCCTCTCGGGCCGACCCAATTACCTAACGACCGGCTGGGAGAACGATCCGGTCTCCGACCGGAAGGCCTGGCAAAGGAGGGGACACAGTCTGACTCTGACCTCCTTTTTCGACCGGAGATATGTCGGACCTCCGCTCGTGATTCTTCCCCGACCAACATGGTCGGAGCCGACTGGGAACGACTGACCGGGGACGCCCGCTCGGTAAGGACCCAAGGATCAGGCGGAGCAGATAAGTTAAGGTGCTCAAATCAACCGCAATAACAAGGATCGTACCCTGCCATACCTTGCACATCTGCAGGACAGTGCCACCAGGCCATGCCAGACGGGTACTATGCAACCTTCCAGGCGAGTCAGAACCCAAATAGTGTTGTGGGCGCCAACATTTGCCTTACAGTATTGTAGGAGCCGACAGTTGCCATACCAGGTGAACACGGTAAAGCCTGCCACATGCATCTATCATAAACAGTATTGTGGGTGCCGACGACTGTCTCGTATCCGACAACGTGGGTAACAAGACTAGGTAGCATACTGTCGGTGTTTTAGAACCGGGGGTCCCTCAACCAACGAGTGAATTTGTGCTGCGTGCCCCTAATCCCGGATGGTGGCGCAAAGAGACACAAGGTTTATACTGGTTCAGGCAATCGAGGCCCTACGTCCAGTCCGAGAGATCGATCTTGTATTCCTTGCACCGGAGTGCTCGTAGTAGGGGGTTACAAGCTAGGTGAGAGAGGAACTAGCCCCAGTCTCGGCGAGTGTGGTGGTGCGGGCTGCTTGAGGCGTTGTTCCCAAGCGGCGTAGGAGTGCGTGGTTCTATCGGCGTGTTCGTCTTTTCCTGCCCTCCCAGAAATGGCCCCAGTCCCTCCCTTTTATACTCTAAGGGAGGACCG